CGAGAACCTTTTACTGCAGCTCATGTAAGTTGTCCTCTAGCATCAAGCAGCCAAAAGCCGCTCGCGTGTATCTGTGCAACAAAGTCAAGCACGCAATCAATGGTGAAGCCGTCTCCTGCTTTGAGATTTGGCACAAGTGCTGGCGTAATGGCACCTTGCTCCCACCGTCAAAGAAGAAAAAGAGGATTCGCGCTCGGAGACCCGGTTCGAGCTCTGCAGAAGCAACGGGGTCAGCAAGCGAAGACGCTGGTGACGGGGAGGGTGAAGACGCGGATGACAGCGCTTCTCGGCCAAAGAGACGTCGCCGCGAGGAAACGACATCATGAGCAGCTGCTTTTGGCTGTTGTAGCTACTTGAATTCAGTATTGCATGTGTCCGAAATTCTGCTGCTGCTGTTGAAGTCTATATTTTGACAAATATATCCAGCGATCGCACGGCCCTGACGCAAGGTTGTTTCTTCTTTGCTCCTATATCGGACACGATAACTACTTAGCTTGTATCAGAGAGAGTTCTCAGATTGAATAATACACGATAGTAAATTTTCACCATCTTAGGTGTTGGGTTTGAGAGCAGCTATCCAATATACACGATATTTAATATACTAGATTTACTATCGTAACCCTTTCCCGACATACACGCTAACAACGATGGGGTTTAGGGAGGTGGGCGCACTGGAAATCATTCGCGGTCAAGGGGTTAAATAAAGCACATTAACCAAAATAAAAGTTAGCAATTATCATAATAGCAAGAACATCAACAACAACAAGCTTACCGATGAAGCGAGCGTAGTGGGGCTTGATCGAAATTAGTCTATCAAGCCAAACACGAGCGTCTAACAGCGTCACGTATTCCCCTTGCAGCGCTTTCGACACCGACTCTACTTTCTTCAGGTCCTTCAGCAAAGCACGGAGACAACGGTTGCACGCGAGCGTCGGCAACAGGTCGGCTATGTCGTCGTAGTTAGTGCCGATATACTCAAGAAGAATAAAGTACCGGTTGATCATCGCGAATGTCGATCCCCATCGCGTGTCTTGGCGGATAACTGGTCGAAGCTTCGTTTGAACTCTGTAGCCAAAATAAAAAGCTAGACATAATTCTAATTTAGAGATATGGTGTACAATACACCACGAACCCCAAACTGAGTTTGGCTGACTGTGTCAGAGTGCGCAGCCTTATCATCAGCTTTTGTACTGCATCGAGGTCAGTCTCAAAGTCTGCCATCTCAACTTGTACAGCGCGGTTAAGACGGTGGCTGGCGCAGCCAATCAATGACACGCCCATCAGCGTCGCTAACCGACGGTTCACTGAACAGTTGTCTGCTACCAGAAAGCAGCACTGCCCCAGCTGCTTTCAATAGTCACGGGGCAGCATGGTGGCAAGAAACGCCATGTGGCCGCGAGCTGAAAGATCCTCCTCTTCGTCGCTGAGTAGTGGGGCCATACACAAGAGGGAAGTCTTAATGACGCCGCCAACTTCGTAGCGAGCATACACAGCAATGCAATGCTCTGATGCATGTGACCATTTATCCAGGATTAGCCCAAAGCGTTCCGGCAGCTCTGCCCCGATGATGCGCTCGAAAGAGGGCGTTAAGGTGTTCATACCTGAGACTAGTGTCTCGACGCAAATGGGATCCAGGTCAGAGTACCTAAACATTGCAGAGAAACAAAGGATATTAAATGTCTAGACAATATAAATAAGAAAGAAAGCCGTTTAGCTTACCGTCTAGCCGCCTCGTTCTCACATAGCGACATTGGCAGGTTGTTCTTCAAGATCCACTCTAACCAGCTGAAAAGGTTAAGAGACGATCGACGCACGTAGTTAATGATAGACCCCGTCTCGGCGTTGTAGCCGCAAGCATGAGGCTCTCGTAGTCCGGGTGCTCGCTTCGAATGTGGGACATCAGGTTGGAGAAGCCGTTCCGACGGGCTTGCTTTCTAACCGTGCCGCAACGACAGCGGTAGTACTCAAGTATGATCTCCTCGAGCTCGTCGCGGCACGGCTGGAAGAAAACCCCAGCAACCTGAGCCGGGGTAAACATCGAGTGAGCGAGGCGGCGAGGGACTAGGACCATCTTGAAGGGCTTGTTTCTGTAGACTTGGTAGCTTGCTGGCAAATTTGAAAGTGAGCAAGCGTAAATCGGTCAGAAACGGCACCAAAACGATGGGTGGTGGCGAAGTAGCCCTTAGAAATAACTTAAGGTGAGTCTGAACATTAATTACCTTAATTAGAGTGACACATACACAAATTACTCTTAAACTCAGGTCCAGACTAAAAATTAATAACTTTCAAATATTTGTTTCCATTATTTAAACCTCAATTATTTTTTCGGAGGCCCTGACCAACACACTCTTGACGTTGCTTTCATCCACATTACACCCAACCTTGCGAGCAAAGGCGGTATCCAAGATGGACACCTCGGCGCCGAAATCGAAGAATAAGTTCGTTTTTTCGTTGTTGATTCTTTCTCCCGTCTTAGCTTGCTTAAACTACTTACTGGATGCGTGGTATTTTCCGTATCCACGCATCTCCAAGTAGTTCCAAATTCGTGTGGAAAGTGTAGGTCGTGGTCGAATAAGACTGCACGATTTTCTTGTATTTGCAAAGCCTGGATAAAATTCTTACCTTGGCTGGAGCCATGGTGTAATTCTTCGACGTGTGGGTCGGCGAGACGTCAGGCCAAGACGCGATCATCGGCATGGATTCAATGGTGGCAGCGGGGATCGGGATAAATCGCTGGGAGAAAGAGATTGAGTCACGAACCATCGCCTGAAAGTTCCAAGTATAAATCACGGTATTTTCTACCTATTGGCATCGACGGCGACGGTTCAAGCGATGACGCTACGTCACGATGGTGAGAGCCACACCTATCCGAAGCATCGACTGGTCGTAGCGATCCGGATAGTGTAGTACGCACGGTAAGGTCCAGCTTGATGTTTGTAAATAGAAGATAAGGGTACAGAGGATTAGAAAAAAAGTAAGGGCCAACTGGCCCTAACAATAACAGAGCAAAATTATCCATGGAGCACACAAGTGTTAAGCGTCGAGTTAAGTACCTTACACTTCGTGGCCCTCCTACCAGCGAACAGCGACCTTCCTGAAGTTAGCGTTCGTTTCCGGTCAGGCCAAGAGACTAGTTGAGGGTTTGTGTTTTGGTTTGTTTCCTATTTGAAGGAAATTCGGGTAATAGATTCCCAATATTAGTGATCTTGGTATAATCGTATACCGCAGATAACTTACAGCCTGGGTTATTCTCGGGCACCCCAAAAGAGTCAAAGAGACAAGGCAACGTTCCGCTGTTGGTGCCACGGAGTATTGAATACTCCTGAGTATTGAGTAAGAGGATAGACGTACAGGCGAAGCTCGTGCATTTTACGTTTGTGTATTTTGCCTACTAGCGTAAAGGAAGCGTCGGCTCAGGGTGCTGCGTCTTACTTGGTTCCTTCAAGTACGCCCCAACTTTCGCCGACCCTCATGGAAGGTGCATTTTTGTGTGCAGAGGCTTGTAATATATTTTGGTGAATCCCTACACCACAACTGGTGCCGCGACCCGGGATCAGTAAGATTTTTATTATTGTTACGCTGATCAGGCAAACTCGAGCAAAATACCCAAGTTAACTAAGGATGGCGAGAGAATCCACGTCAACGGTACCAGCGACTCCGATGAAAGGTGGAGCGAGCCGGACGATGGATTGGAGCGCGGCGACGGTGTCGACGCGGATGTCGACGTTTGGCAACCGTTCGGTGAGTTTCAAAGACTCGGACGACGATGGTTTGCAAGCGACTTGGGCTGCGGTATAGATCGTGAGAAGTCTCGCGAGGAGGCAGTGCTGTCAGCGTGAAGCAGAGGGGTTGCAAAGTCCCTCTCGCTGGCCGACGAACTTTCGGTCGTGGCTGGGCCGGGTGCAGCTTACGACGATTGGGGAGACGAAGACAAGGTTGATGAGCCGCTGCACGAGACGTGGGGGCGTTTGGGGGTACGTCCTCCTGGCAATGGTGACATTCCAACGACGAACAAGGTCCTGGCGAGGTGTTACGAGAAGATGCTGACAAGTGAATGGATCCGACTGTTTAACCCTCGCCAAGTGCGCCACGCGACTAGGGGTGATTTGCACGACGAATAAGCCTACCCAGTGAACTCGCTGAGCACGACACAAGTCACCGACGATAAGGTGTCGCTGTTGCAGGCGACGGGTTTCGAGACTCGCAACTACCCGTCGTGCATGGCGCTAAAGGAGTGGACGCTGTCTGAAGTAGAAGCTGACCTCCACAAGTGGAAGAAGAATCTTCGCAGTGCATTTAGCGTTAATGATCTCGCCAAGGGAAGACAACCGGTGACAGGTACTGTGACTCAGCCTGCAGACCCGGCGATGATTCCCTTGCCGGACCGCCGGCGAAAGCTCGTGAATTGACCGTGAGAACGATTTCACTAAGGGCGGCGACTCGCCTTACTTCCAGGACTCGCACATGGTGACGCCACGTATTGCTAGCCGAGTGCGACGTTTAGTCACCGAAGGCGAGGATTCTTGATACAAAGAGCGGAGATCGCGACGATTGTTACTAAGTATAGTTTAGACTTGCCATGCCCACTTAAGTACTATATTCAGCCACTTAAGAGCGAGTGACCCATTGAATAGGACCAAAACGGCAAATTTGGTCGGAATTCACAATACTGTGAAGCAAATTGTGAATGCAAGTGTTTCTCAGTGTGAAACACGTCTTTGTACTGCACATGTTTGACTGTTTGAAAAACACGGATCAGTTTTTTGATGTTATTTCAATTGTACGGCCAGAAATAAAATATCAGAAAATCAAAAAGGATACATTCAATCTACAGACAGTACGTAATTTTCCAGTCATTGGATTTTATCTTTGCCACTTGCCGCAAATAGGTTTGCTTCGACGCGAGTGCTGGTCAACATCAATAATGGCCGGGACGCCGACGCCACAGAGTCCAATTCGTGCGTCTGCAATGGGTCATTCGCCACGGATCAGCAGCAGCAATGACGTACCCAGCTCAGTGCAGCGCCACAACGGCTTCGAGCGACCGTTCTCGCGCGACCAAGTGATCTCGTGGATCGGGCACGCGCTCTCGGCGCTGTGTTTCTTTATCGGAGCGGCCGGTATTTTTCTCTGCACGGGCGATGGTGGCGTCGAGGAAGAACACACCAGCACCACTGTCACCACTCTGGTAGGCTGCTGGTATATTAGGTAGAACTGCGACGTATCATTGACAGTTGTGCCTGCTAAATTGCAGACGCTCGTGACTATCGCACTTCACGTACTGAACTCGATGATCCTCGTGACGGCTTGGAGATCCTGCGAGACCATTGACCCTGCTGAGTCAGTAGAAGACTCTCTGCCCAATGGCTGGTGTGGCGTGAGACTCACTGGTCCGCGATGGGAGAAAACTCGGTACTGCGCACTGTGCCGGAAGCCAGTGCCTGGACTCGACCACCATTGCACATGGCTACAGACGTGCATCGGCAAGAACAACTACGCCCAGTTCTTCACAGTAGCCTGTACAGGCACAATGCAATTCGTACTGCAGGTGGCGTATGCAGTGTTAGGTCTGATGTGGCTGCTCTACCACCCGCTAGATGACGCAGGAGGGTTTGGCTATGTGGTGGAAGGCTCCTTGATCGTGTGCTTGGTGATCTCCGTGCCGTGCATGTTCATGTACTTCGTACTCGTTGGTTTCCACGTCTGGCTCATGATACTGGGTTACGGCACGTACGAGTGGATGCTACGTCGTCGCAAAGATCAACGAGCCAAGTTGGAGGCCAAGAAAAAGAAGAAAAGTGGCGACAATGACGAGACGAGCTCCACAAGCACAGGAGATTCCGTGTCCTTAGAAAGCAGCCACACAGTCGTCAAGGTGGGCGATGTCAATCTCGAAGAACGGGACCGAGAGCTCACCGTGCTGTAATCCACGATTAAAAATGTACCAATAGTTAAGCCCAGCAAGTAGGAAGCAGAGACTGGCACCCTCTTCAGCAGTATATAAAAGAGCAGCAAAGAGCGCTCCTCCTCTCTATTGCGTGTTGCTTACTGCTGCTGCTGCTGCTTGACTTGGGCCACAGCCTGCTCGATACGCGAGCTGATGTTGGGCAGCAGACTCACGTGCGAGTCCACGCAGCGGCCAACACACGTATCCATGTCTTTCTGGGCGCGAGCAATCTGCTTCTCACTGGGGTTGCCACCGGCAGGAAATGAGTCCTGCGCCTTATCCTGACAGTCTTGCACGCAACGCTGGATGCGGTTCTGGAAGGTTTGCATCTCCTGCTGCATGAACTGGTTCAGCTGCTGCGTTGGCATCTGGCAGCGCTCCACGGCCGCTGCGAGCTGCTCCGATGACCAGCTCTTGTTCTCGAACACCTTGGCCGCACACAGATAGCCATCGCGCTGCAGACCGCGAAGGAGCGTGCGGTCCAGGCGGTCCACCATCCTGTCCACCGCATCCTGTAGTTTGGTGTCGGCCATTGTTGCTGCTGGTCTATCGACTGGGCGGAGCGTGTGATGTGCGTCACAGTTATCCAAGGGGCCAAACTTTCGAAATATTATTTTAATTGCATTTTTACTTATAATACTTTATTGTAATTATTAGTTTGAAGCTTTGTAAATACTTTTTTAGCTAAATACTTTGAAGTACATGAATCGAAATTTATGCTAGCGGTTCAGTTGCATAATTGTTTTTATAAAAGTCCAAATTAGAAACGAACATGTATTGTGTGGACCATGTTACTTTAGGTTAACAGCCTTCACACTGCAAAACCGCTTCGAGCATGGAGTCGGCCGCGTCATCACCGACAGAGCTGCAGCTAGGACCGCTGTACGGGCGCTACCGCCACTGGCGGTCTCCCCCGCCGCCACCATCTGATGCACCGATGGAAGACGCTTCCAACCAACTTTCTGCTCCCGCTCCCTGTGCGCTAGTCGTGCAGTTCGAGGCGACAGCCCTAGAAGATCTGCGTGTGGGCTTCGCACCCTCTCTTGAGGTCTCTAACGAGAGCTCTGAGGACGATGAAAGGCACAAGAAGCCTCACATCGACTGGAAGTACGAGGTGGCTGTCGGAACGAGTGGAAACACGGAGCTGGTGTGGCGGAAATCGGCCTCGGGGCGCACCAAGGAGGTGGATCTGGCCCGAGTCTTCACAGGCCGCACTTGCTCGACCCAGGATTTTGTGGCGTATTGGGTTGTGGTGGATGTCAAGAGTGGAGCGTTGTCCTTTGGCGTGGGCGCTCAGGTAGGCGAGGACGTGCTCTCAACGGTGCAGGACCCGGAGTTTGTCCATGTAACGCAGACAGCCTTCACGTCGTGGGACTCTCCGGTGTCTATTCGAGGCATTCAAGTCCACGGAGTCTACGAGGGTCAGACTGAGGTACTTGCAGCTGCTAATATAGCAGCATTCCCTCCACCAAGGCCAATGGTGCGCGCTGATCCATTAGGCAAGGAGGACTTACTGACGTCCGAACAACGCCAACAGTATGAGGCCGAGTATGCAGCTTCCAAACGTCGTGCCGAGAGATTCGGAGCACCATTTGCACCGCCCGACATCAAAAAGTTCCTGGATCCTAGAGAAGTGAGGAAGCTCCAGCGTTCCGGCGCCATTGTGCCTGGCTTCTCGACAGGTATCGACATTACGAGTCAGGAGGAGCAGAGCAAGCGCGAACAACGAATGAAGCGCTTCGATACCCCGCAATTTGCTGTGGAGTACACAGCTGAGACTGCTAAAGCGTTAGAGCAGGGAATGACGCAGGAAGAATGGGCTGAGAAGCAGCGAGACCAGGAGAAGCTGCGTGCTCGTGCGCAGAAGTTCGGACTCTCGGCTGAAGAAGACCATTCGAATGTGGTCCCGACGGGCATTAAAGCAGCCTCTGCTAAAGTACGCCGCGAAAGATACGACGTCAAGGCTCCAGTGGTGGAGGGGCAGTCGGTGCTGTTTCGTGACGATGCATTGCACATGTACTCGCTAGACGAGAAGTTTCAGCAAGTCCGGACTAGTGACGTGATGGATTACTTCGTTGGTTACGGCCCCGCTTACGTGGAATGGTTCAACGACAGCTCGTGTACCATTGTGTTCCAGGACAACTTCACTGCTGCTAGAGCGCTCATTGCCTTGAGTCAGGAGATCCCACCGCAGACTTTGAAGCAGAAGAAGGAGAAGACTGAAGATGCCTCCGCGCTGGTAGAAGATGTCGATATGGCTGATGCAGAGGCGTCTGCTGACGACGCTGCGATGGCAATGGAAGTTGAAGAGGAAGTGGAAGTCCCTGATGTTGAGTTCAACCGCTCGCAGTGGCATCTGGGTAACCCTATTGGCAGTCAGACGCAGCCTCGCGACAAGAAGTGGCGTGTGTTGCTGCGTAAGGCCACAGACGATGACTTTCCTCCTGAAAAACTCCCTAAGAAGGGCACGTATCACTCTCGTGACAGCCAGCGTCATGACTCGCGTGGCAGTCGTCGTCGCAATGACCGAGAGTATGGATCGTCGTCTCGACGACGTGGTGGAGACTCAAGAGCTCATCCTTACGGTGAGTTCCGCGAGGACCGACGTGGGGAGGAACCGTCCGGCCGTCGTCGTCGCAATAAGAACGATGATCGCGACACTGGTAAACCGTCAAAGCGTATTCGTGTGAATGCCGACGGCTCCATCAACATTGTGCGCGATGAACAAGCTGCTTCCAGTGAAGCAGCGAGTGCGAGTAAACCTGCCAGTGTCCCTAAGTCCGAACCAGCTCCGGCTGTCGAGTAAACTCGTTCAGCCCGCTGCCTGCATAAACACGTCACGAACTCCAAGCCAACTGCAGCCGGATCACAGCTATAACTTACCGCTTAATTTGTTATCATGCGCATGTTAAAACTCTGGCTGAAACTTGGCACTAATCGCTTCTCGACAGTATGGACATTCCCCAAACACAGTATGGAAGGATTGACGTGACGTGGGTAGTGCACGAAGCCAGTCAAATAGACATTTGGCATGGAATGGCCGATTGCACTTGGTGTTCTCACACAGACGATCTGGAATGCGAGAGCCTTGTTCTTCAACGGCCTTCCGTTGCATCGGGTTCTTCGCTTCTTCCTCATTGCCCTCCTCAACCTCCAGGCGATACGAGTAGCAAATCCCGCACTCGATGGCAAACTCTTCCGCCTTCGTCGTCTTTGGAGACGGCAGTGTGAGCTCCAGCACGTCTTCTAAGTTCTTGTGTAGTGGTCTTAATTCATCCCACCTACTCGATGCGTTGTTGCCCCAGCGTTCACGTAGCACTCCGACACTTGCCTGGTTTCCAAAGAAGTTCAACTCAGTCAACACAGCCGTCGGATGTGCCGGGTCCACTTCCAACTGCACTGAGGCATGTCGTTCCAGCGCCAACCTCCTTCGCCCTGTAGCTCTCGTCCCATGGCGCGGCTCCAACACACACGTCGCTGCACCAAGTGCATCCAACACGTCCCAGAATTTCTGAAACCTGTCCAAGAAACTCTCAAACTGCTTCAACACTTCATCCAACACCGTGTGGTTCTCCTGTGGCGGCCACTCCAGATCAAAAGCCTCGGGGGCGTCTACCAGACACTCCGGTTTCGCTGCAAAGCCGGCAGCCTCATACTCCAAGGGCAAAAGCACCCGAACCGCATGGATACGTTCCGCCGTGTCCTTTGTCTCTAGCTCCAGTGAGCGCAAGTCGTCGCTGAGTTGACGGAGGCGATTCCAACCCACGACGTCCAATTCCTCTAATAATCTTGCGTAATATTTAGCACTTGGCAATGCAACCTGATCACCAGTCTGTGTCCTGCAGCAGATGGCTACCAGCTCCTCTAACTCCGTTGCGAAACCCGCGAGAGACGACGCCTGCGCCAGTCTCAGCTTCAGCGTAGCTCTGTGCGGTTGCAGCCGAGTTGCCAGCGCGCGCTCCACGTCTAATTGAGCTGCATCCAATACAGTTCGGCCCGTCCGTGCATCATAGTCCACATTGGACACTCGGACAGCGAATTCGTCGCCATCCACGCTCACGTAGCCGCGGTACACGGAGTGTGCTGCGTCCTCAGGAACAAAGTGCATGGCAATTGTGAAAGCTCTCTTCAAGTGTAAGAAACAAAGAAACAGTTACAGAGATCGCCGTGTGATTGGCTGTGCTCTTAGAGCTACTCAAATACATTTCTAAAATGTAGCGATTTGATCTAATTCGCTATCCAATATCACCCGCACGTTTCTAGTTTTTATCACCCGCACGTTTCTAAAGTCTCACCACCAGGCAACGATGCTGTCGTCTTTAGCACGTCCTGCTGTGCGCTGTGCACTGCGACCCCGTCGTGTACTTAATGGCCACAACTCTGTTCTTCTACGCGGCTTCGCGTCCGCAGACAAGTGGGGCGTCACCAACGACCGCATCACCGCTCGGGTCGTCAATATCGTGGAGGACGGTGGCGGCATGCGCACGGATGTCCCCACTCGCCAAGCCATCCAGGAGGCACGAAGCCAAGGCGTAGACCTCGTGCAGGTGTCACCCGTGGGCAAACTTCCTGCGGTCTGCAGACTTTTTGACTCTAAGAAGCGGTTCTTTGAACTCAAGAAAGCCAACAAGAAGGCCTCAAAGCAGCAGAAGCCCAAGCCTGACAAAGAGGTCGTTGTTGGAGCCAAGATCGCCGTGAGTTTTTTTTTTCAAGTGAAATTTTGCTTTGTTTTTGTGGGATATGTAGTATTCACGATATTACTTTGTTGCTGTTAAAAACTATTGCCAGCCAAATGATTTGAACATGAAGGTAGAGCAGCTGAAGCGGTTCCTGAACAAGGGTCACAAAGTCAAGTTGACGATCAAGTTCGCGCACGCGTATCATCTGAAGACTCAGTGCTTGGAGCAGCTAGGCAACATTGGAGACCGTATTGACGCCGAGACGGGCGTGCCTGTCGGTCAACCTAGGGAACAGTTTGGCGGGGTGTACATGTACTACTCGCCAGCCAATTAGAAGAGCAGTCTTTGTTTCAAGGGAGCTCAACGCCGATGAAGAGCCTTTGAGCTGAGTGGACAGCATCTATTTGATGACTACTGTATAGCCTCCCTATTATCTGTCACCACGCCTATTGTTGCCAGGGTGTGTCATGCCGGCATGGTGTAGGATACCACTACGCGCGAATATAAATGCAAACGTAAGCCCCCAAGGTTGATAAATGTCTGAAATACTACGTCGCTGTGTCGTGAATAAATCTAAGGCTAGGTGCACAGGCATTTACAGAGTCGATGAAACAGCCTTAGTGATTGACTTCATCGCCTGAGGCTTCGTCTGACTTTGTCAATTTCTTGAGTTTCCTCGCGCTAAGAGGAATCGTGCAGGTCGAGGCTCGAAGATGATGCGGTAGTACTATGGAAAAGTGCGTACTACACGTACTTGAAGTAGTATTATACTAAGTCATACCAAGCAATTGCTCAATAGGCATTTTGGAGTAACTAGTATACCGTATACCGCTAGCTTGGTACTCGAAGCAACCGAACACGAAGAAAAGTTTGATGTTGAATCCAGCAATGCGAATCAATGTAACGTTAGTGCCCTGGAGAAAATCTAACTCTTCAAAGGCCAGCTTATACGAAGGCATGATCATCATGTAGTTAATGAGCTGCGTTCCCATATTACCGGCACTGCTTCATTAGGCATCGACCAACACGACTAAGTCAGTGAAACGGGGTCAGCTATCTAGACGTTGATTACTCGCGCAAGCTTCTGGATGCGGTTAAGCAGCAAATCTCCCTTCTTGATGGCGTCCTGGTACTGCGCGTTCTTAGCGTCTGGGCGGTTGGTCTCAATCACACCAGCCACCTTGTCGATTTTGGCGTTCAATCGGCCGGCAGCGATGAATCGTGCAAGTTCCGTGTCCAGGAACTCGACGCTCACACCGAACGCAGCAGCCATGGAGGCGATAGTCACACTGCGATAGGCCTCGAGGAATTGGGCGTAGGCGAGAACGCGCAGTTCACGGTACAGGAAGCGTGAGTGAGTGGACAGGTACTTGTCTCGCAAGATATAAGGCTGGATGTCCACCATGGCCGTGAAGAATTTCTTGTAGTCGCAGTCGTACAGACCGTTCAGAAAGTCTGTTAGACACGGGATTTCGTTGATAACCGCAAGGATCTCAGGCGAGTCCACAATCTTCTTCTTCAGGTCCACACGACTCATGCTGAGTACGCACGTGATGACGCAGTAGAAGACCATCGTGTTGTACGGCATGAGCTCTGTGGCCGTGAACGTAGCCACAGACTCCTGGAACAGAGTGGACGCCTTCTTAAAGTCGCGAGCCATCAGCAAGTAGCAGCCTTCATACACTTTCAGTCGGTTGCGACGGTCCCAGTCTCCACCTTCGTCAATGAGTCTACAACAGCAATTATTCAAAACAAAATATCAGCACCCTCACCAACAAACATCACAATAAGCACCTTCACGTACGCTGCGGCCTTCTTGATGTACGTCTCGACCAGTTCCAGATCGGAGAAGAAGAGTCCAATGCGGATGACGTGCAGCGCCACGAGGATCTTCTGGTTGATGGACTGGGGCTTCTCTCCGGCCACCTTAAAGGCCTCAAGTGCCTTCTCCTTGTCTCCGATACGCGAATACATCCTCGCCTTGGCCAGCATAGCCTCCAGCACCTCAATATCTCCCAAATTCTGCTCAGCATCGGCTAGTCGCTCGTCCAGAGCTGCAAGCTCTGTCGCGTTCTTATTGCTCATCTCAGCCTCAAGCACTGAGTCCACAGGCCATTTGAACTCGTTGTACACGATATGGTAAAACGGGGCCATGTCGTTTTGCTTCACGAGCTCCAGCACCTGAGTCTGCGCGGCGGCTGCGGCCTCGGGAGTCAGGGTGGACGCTGAAGAGTGCTTGTGCTGCAGTAGGAAGTGCAGCTGCGAGAGCTTCATGTTAGGCAAAGTGCTGAGGTCATCCTCGATTTCCTCCGAGATGTTGCCCACGCTGGCTTGCTTCTTGAGCGCTGGGACTGTGGACTTCTTGGCGTCGTCGGCTGCCATGATGGAGCTTCTTGGATATTGAGATCTATTCAGGGGGAAAGCATCGTGTGCACCACATCAGACATGCCTGCGGGTTAAACGAAGTACTTTTTCAAGCCATCAATTTACATCGACACTTTTGGTTTTTATCGCAGTGTTTTCAATTTTAGCGGTACTTCTGTAATCAAGAGGGGTATATACTGGAGAACTCGCTTTTATAAATTTAAAGTGGTTTACGTGAGCGGGTTATAGGCAACTTGCACTTCCTATCGCACCAGCTCACACGTTTACTACTTGTAAAGTGCGCTAGCAAATTAAACGTTTATTGAAGACAGTGACAGTACGTGTACATGTACAATATTGCACACATCTGTAACCGCACGCGAACCAGTCAAGATGCCAGAAAAAAAAACTTCATGCAGCTACCGTACTTGGTCTCGTCGCCATCGAAGACGCCATCGTACTCGTCACGTGCCCTCCTGTACCAAGACTAGTCCTTTTAAAGAGGGAAACTACAATTTTAACGCTTTGAGTGACATTGATCGTCGCTTTAACTACCGGTTCTGGAAAGCTGACCTAGTACGCCTGCACAAGGGTCTAAAGCTCGAGGAATACTACAAATGCCAAGTCGCGTTCGGGCTGGTGAAGTCGAGGAGCTGTGTATCATGTTGCGTCGACGAGCGTATCCAGGTCGGTACGATGATCTCGCCGCCATGTTTGGCAGGTCGTCTACCGCGCTCTGCCTCATTTTTTAGTTTAAGGTGGGCCTCATGTACGCTAAGTACGCCCGACTGCTTGCGCTCGAGTGCGGCATTTTAAGTACCTCTCGATTCGAGGTTTACGTGGAGGTTATATCCGCATGGGGGAGCCCGATTAAGAGATGCATCGGATTTATAGACGGCATCGTCCGTGCTGTAGCTCGTCCTGCTCGTGACCAGCGGCAGTGCTGCGGACACAAACGCAAGTACGCACTGTAGTACCAGGAGAAATGGCTCGGGATGGCATCTTTATCGATTTTTACGCTCCCGTAGCAGGCCGCCGCCACTGTATCTACCTGCTACGCGGAAGTCGCGTCCTGTAGCGCCTCCAGACTGCACATTCGAAGGCCTACGGTTTATATGGGGACCCTGCATACCCAAATAGGCGGAATTTACATCCTGGCGCGGAGCGCACGTACTTGATGCTTGCGAAGCGCTGGTACTGGACCAAGAGGCTGAAATCAATCCAAAGCTACATTGGTGAATGTAAGTCATGTAGACGCAACCCGCGGCTGACAAAGCCTCTGGGACTGCTAGAACATCTGCGAGTTTCGGAAGAGCGATGGAGATCGACCTCGATGGACTTTAGCATCGACTTGCCAAGAACAAAGCAAGAAGTGGACATCATTTGCGTCGTTGTTGACCGACTGATGAAGCGTTGCCATTTCGTGCCGACTATGAAGAAGGTAGACGCCGTTCCCGTCTCTTCATCGACTACGTATTGAAGCGTCACGGTATGGTCACTAGCGTTTTATCCGATCGCGACAAGAAGTTCGCTTCCAAGTTTTGGCAACACGTCTTCAAGTCCATCGGGATAACACTCAACCTGACAGTAGCACATAGAGCCTAAGACGATGGTCAGACGGAACGGATGGACCGAAGCCTGGATCCGTAAGTGCGGTGCTATGTTGGACCTGTCCAAGACGACTGGGATATCCATCTCGCGAGTGCTAACTTTGATGTGAGCTCTTCTGTCAACAGCAGTATCAAAATGGCACCTTTCGAAGCTGATCTTGATACCACTTAACCCTGTTTCAACTTGCAGCGGGAAATCGTGGTAAGGTCCCCACTAGTCGACGCGGGGCTGAGTTTCACGAGCGCCAAGCAGCTCTTCTTCGACGGTGTTATAAAGCACTTGTGGAAGCGCAGAGCAGAATGAGCGACGTGCACGACCGCCCCGAGAGAAGCAAATCCGTGATGCTGGCAACCGCGTGTACCTGAGCACTAAGCACTTGGGTCCCGAGCATACCAGATTACCGAATTTGCGTGAGTCCATACACGGTGTTGAAGAGTATCCACCACCACGCATACGAGCTCAGCATCCAAGCCGGTAACCGGCTCCATCTAAGCTTCAACACAGGATCTTTAGCGGCCCCATGATGTTGTTTTTGCCGACAGAGCCGCTGGATAACTCGTTCAGCGGCTACTCGGCAAGTGCACTACAAACGACAAATGAAATTTATTGTGGAGTGGTTGGAGTACCGAATCTCATTGCAGTCTTTGAGGCATCCAGAAGGAAGAAGCTATTGAGGCGGTGAGCAGCACAACCAAGAAAAATAAGGGGGGGGGCAATAGCCTACAAGTATTCCCGTACTCCATTTCCTGCAGTTTCTGTAGTTTCTTCTTCTCACGACGCACTTTCCATCGATTCGGCCGTTTGCTGGCGGCAACGATACCCTGGATTCAACCTCTTCAAGCCCATCGATTTGACTTTTTCGAGATACTCCACGTTGAACAACGGTTCTGGACTAGCAGCTCAAATCCATCCCGGTACCAACAATTAACGCCTTGCCCCCTTCGCGAGGACAACGACACAATGTCCAACAAGGCCGTCACCAATACCCGTCCTGTACACTCCTTCACGCAGGGTTTGGAAGGGCGTCTAAAAGTGCTCCACATCCGTGTAAGAAGTTTTGAGAGGACTCTGGAAAAAACCATCGTAGTCCAAGGAAAAATTGTGGAACTGAAGGAAGCGGAAGAAGCCTATAACTTCAGCACGAGAAACATAACCAGCTGTACTAGGGTTATCGAGATCAAAGGCGTTCCAGATATCAGTAGCCGTCGGTGCGAGATCACGTTCACCAAGATGAAAGAGGGCAACACGAACGGCATCCATGAAACAGCCACTGGCAGGAGAAGCCGTGTCACGGCTCGCAAATGTTTCTTGTGAACAAAATCGTGCGCAAATCATCTCTTCATTGAATTTCTTGGCTCATGCGACGCGCGAACTTCCGGTCGAGGTGTCCTCCCAAACCCAGATCAACTGCAGAGACTTGATTTGCCATTCCACGAGAAAGCAGCGATGTGGAGCGTCACCTCGGACATCATGCAGCTGCTCAAGGTTTACTTCGACCGAGTAACCCCAATGAGCGTTTGGATCAATGGTTATCACGATGATTGGCTGGGTGCTTCTTCAGCGCAGGAGGCTGTGAATGCGGATGCCAATCGCCAGAGTCGACACCACGTCTGAGCCGACTGCGTGGTATAACAGGACTAGTCTACTCGTCAATGTTCACATCACCGAGACCGCAAGCAAACAGTGGCGGCGACGGTGGACGCGTCACTGGCGGAGGCACCGACTCATCCAGCTCTGAAGTCGAAACCGCGAGATCCGGTGCATCATCCGATACGTTGTGGATCGCAGCGAACTGTAGATCTATCTAGTGGCTCAAAAACGATTCCCCAGACACATCTGACGCTACCTAAGCGTAATCCAAAGGAGATGATGACGGCAGCGATTGACAGTGGCAACGGGTAGCCCAACCAGGAGCCAGAAGAGTGAAAAGCCGCAGGAGAACCAAAAGGCGACAAAGAGGATGGCAGTGGTAGCGACTGCAGTGATGACAGTGGCGCTGTGGGCGACGGTGCAGCCGACGGACCAGTCAGAGCTGATCCCGATGCTGGTGCGGTCGTCGCTGCGCACGCCATGCGCGCATTGGTCGCGCAGAGCCTGCTGTCGCACGAAGCTCCATGGAAAGTGTGAAAGAAACATCAGACTCGCTTGTTAAAGTCATGTTGACCGCCTCTGGTTAGAACCCACTCAGCTCCGATGAAGCCTGACACAAAGGCGATGATAACAGCGGTTCAAGCGAGTTCCGGTAGAGACGGCTGACTTCGCCGTCGCTGTGTTTTTTTTTTTCGGGAATGGAGGCTGCGAAAAGACGGTGGTTGCCAGAGGGATGGTGGTGTATCTGATTGGTTGTTATTATCGACCTATAGGGACGAGCGGTTAGTATTACTACGAATGAGTAAAATATAGTTATGAATATATCTGCAAATGCAGGGCAGTTGTAAAAGCTTCTATACGTCTGAAGTGCGGGGCGACACTTTTCGTTTTGGCACGCTCTTCCCCAAGTTTCCTTGTGTCGGATGCAGCAACAGTCTGCAACAGCATTCAGCAATATAAAAGTATAACACGGAGCAATAAGATATCCTAATTCGGGATTAGTGCTAGCGTGATTCGGCGTTCTTCCCGCAGTAAATAAAAGCTGGTTGTGTGCAATAGTCAGCTTGCTGCTCGATTTTGAGGGATTGCTTTCCCTCAAATTCCGTGGAAGTCTGGATGTACTGCCGTGTAAAAAGGGATTTGTATGGCAACTGTTCAGTAGGAAAATCTTGCTTATCTGAAAAAGGAGGGACCTCCTGTCTCTCAAAAATGATACCAGGGCGTTTTGCCACACAAATTTCGCAGACGGAGTATTTTTCAATCAATTTGGCCTATATTTATAATTTAGGATCGTGCTCGATCTGGACAATGTACGCATTTCTATGGAAGCCCCAAATCAAAACGATGGGGGAATATAGATGCGCGCGGCGCAAACTAGCGTCATCTGACTGTATACGACGGCAACACAGCGCGGTGCGTCGGACGCCTTCCAGGACGACGCCTGTGATTGAAGACCAATCGACGGCAGAAGCGACAAGCGGAGAATTGCTGGACAGGCGAGGGCAGAGGGTCGTATTGTGTGGTAGCACCGTCACCACAGAAAAAGCAGTTTCGTCTTGTAAGGTACTTCTCCGGCCCACTTCAAAATGACGATTTCAGTTTTGGGCAAAAAACTCTTTAACAAGAGCTAGCTGGTAGACACATGGCACACCACGTCATAGCCCAAAGTACGACGCACAGGAACATATTTTTTAGGTTGTAAGAATGGTAAATATGCGCGTGCACGCTGCGATCAAAACCGCCGCGTTTGGAAAGGCATTAGGTTTTTTGTCGCAATTCAGGAAAAAATTAGCGATATTACACCATACTTTTAAAGCGGCTAAACCGGG